TCTCACTAAATTGCTTACGGCTTTGCTAAGTTGTCAAGACTGGCTTTGAACTGGAGATCCTTCTTGCCTCAGTTTCCAGAGCCTCTCATATTGTAGATGTGTGTTCTACTATGACTGGCTAGTGGATGGAGTATTGGATATTAAAGTGGTTAAGTGCCTTCCCTAAAGTCACACAGCTAGTAAGTAGGAGATGAATGATTCAGGAATGTGTATCTGATTTTAAACCCTTTATGTCTAATTTCTACTATTTCCTCCATTTCCTGTATCACTTATTGCATATTCCATACATGAACAATTTTATTGATATTGCCTGATAAGTTTAAATTAGAATTTAAACCTTTTTTTGGTAACAACTGCTAGTATATTTTGATTGCAACCTGAATGACTCAGGTTTAATCTAGGCAGTGAATGCAAACACATCATAATACTTGCATTTTATCAATACTTAAATATTTAGCCTAAAATGTCCACAGGCATTTTGTTACCAGGCAGAAGTGCTGTCACCACTCTTATTTTCTTTCAATTTAGACACATAGCACAAATCTCTTAGGGAATTTCATGTCATGACTCTTACACCAATGGCAGATGAGCCTCCTCCTGAACACACTCCATCTACGGGTATTCAGTCTATGTGCCTGAGACTGGCTTCATGCTCTGGGATATTTTCTTCCTCTGGTCAGTGATCCTTGTGAAACTTCCTGCTATCAATTTCTAGCCCTGACTTTACATTCTAACGACACATCTCTATTCTCACTTCCTCAAATCTTTCAGCCCCTCGGTTCTATTTTTGTGCCTCTAAGTCCCAGGGGTGGAAAGAAATCAATCTTTTTATTGCCAGGAGCATCTTTGCAAATCTAAGGATTAACATTTTCTTGCCCAGGAAAGGGATTTTTGCAAGTTCAAGTTCTCAGAATCATTTGAGTTCTACTGTCAATGGATATGTGGATTAAGTGAGAGGCAGGATCATTCCTCTTGTAAGTAAAATCATCTACAGCTAGATGGTTTTATAATTTTATAATCATGTCAAGATGAATTCAACTGTCCTGTTTCCCAACCCAGATGCCTAACACACTCTATTGCAAACATTAACTGTTTTAATTTTGCTGTGACTGCAATTGTTCTGTGTCTTCAGTCTCTAATATTTATTAATGGAATTTAAGTGTAGCCAAAACTAGTTATTAGACTGATAATACTTTTAAAATATAATAGAGATTACTTGGCATATTTTGACTGTGTAATCCATCTTCTGAGGAAAACATTGGGGAACTTCAGTTTATTTTACAAGAACAAAAATATGGAAACTTCCTGTCCAATCCTAAAGGTGGAATTTTTTTTTATTTTTTATAAAAAGCATATGATACTTTCTGCGGTCTCAGGAGAGAAATCACTGTGATTCTGGAGCTCTTTATTCTGACCTAATTTTGCTTTTATCTTAGTGCTCAGGCTTTCTTTGAATAGAATAGTCTAGTTGGTCTCTCTGCCTCTGGAGAAGAGATATCACCAGAAGACAGTCTGAAGAGTTCCTGAGGGTGGGAACTTGACATGTGGGGTCCTGGGATTATGTCATGAAAAGAATTTCAGCACATGCCAGTCAGAGACACAGACAAAGATTTATTTGGGAAAGCAGAGACATGTTCAAGGGAAAATGTGGGTTATCTCAAACCAAAGGTGGAATGTTTTCTCTGATATATGGGACCTAACCCACAATAAGGGGTAGAGGGAATAAACTTTAGTAGAGTAGACAAAGGGGATTGATGGGAAGGGAGAAGGAATGGGAAAAGGAATGACAGTGGAATGAATCTGACACAACTTTCCTATGTTCGTATATGAATACAGCACAGCGAATCTCACCATCGTGTACATCCACAAGAAATCAATTAAAAAAATAACTATGGGTAAATGGCAGAAAGATAATAGAGAGAAGGGAGCAAGTGGAGGGGAGAGGAAAGGGGAAGGGGAGATACTGGAGTGTGAATTAGAATAAGATATATTCCATGCTTTTATAATCATGTCAAGATGAATTCTACTGTCATGAATAACTAAAAAGAACCAATAAAAAAACCCATGAAATTAAATTTAATATTGCAAGATATCATATTATTTTGTGCCTATCCGGAAGCATTCTTTGTCAAGATAATGTCATTTCAAGATAAATAAATAAATAAAACAAATGATGGCGGGAAAAGTGAAAAGTGCTTCTGGGGTAACTGGTTCTTTTTTTAAAGAAAACTTGGTAAAGGGTGGGTATGGGAGGCTGGGTAAGGATGGCATTCATCTGGTGATCACAAGATTGTTTATGGTGGTGCTGTCATTCTCACGGGCTTTAGAATGATGTTGGCTCCATTATATAATCTATAGATAACACTAGAAAGTCCCCTAAATTATAGGTTTCTTAAAATATCATGTCTCTCTTTGCTTAATATATTTATTGGTGGATTAATTAATAGTGCAAAAGGTAATTGTCATGAGTAAGTGGTTTTATGCTAACTCTAAGATTTATAGATTTCCCTGAAATTTGGGAGTGATAGACCTGGGAAGAACTAAGTTGGGGAATGACAGGCCTCAAAAAGTATGAAGAACTTTAAAATTATATTTTCTTGTCCTTCCTTAAATGTCTCCTATGTATTTCTTTTTTCTTCTGTCCTACTTTACTTCTTATTTTTTCTGCCTCACTTCGATTTACTTTTCTTTCCATTTTCTAATGGCATTTGTAACGTACAATGAGCTCAAATAGAATGTAATACATCTCTCCCATAAGTGCAAAATCTGAAATGTTTAAAATTCCAGCCGTTGATGTATAATTGGAGTTTAATTGAACCTGCAGTGCTTCATGATTACAACAGTAGACAAATGGCCTCTTTAGTTATAATGCGAATGACTGAGATTTTTCAGCAGCAGAAATACATAAGACTATATTAAATGGTGTTTGCTTACCTGTTTTTCAGAATACAAAAGTATTACATTTGTCTTATAAATATTTTGCATTACAATGTATTTAGGGTAGAAACCACTTGCTCTTTTAAGCTCCAAATCTAGGTTCAATCAGCACATTTTTTTTGAGATACTCTGAATTATTTGATGCATATCTCTAAGACCAACTTGGGATCTTGTCATCTACAAAAACCATTTAGGCTCTGATCAGATAAATCTGTGTGTTTGTAGACTGTTATAAATGTAAAGGAACATCCCTGAGATAATAGGTGGACAAATAATTAGCAAAATGACTCTGGAGAGTGCTGAAGGCTGAGAAGAAAATAAAGTGATAAAGTCTTGAAAGATTGGTTAAGGCTAAGCCTTGCTGAGAAGGTATCCTTGTAGACTGAATGATGATAGGATCACCATCAGCCATATGAGAGAAAAACATTCAAGGTGGAGGAAAGAGGCCACCATCAAACAAAAAGACAATGGCATGGCAATTTCTAGTACCCCTTCCACTAGGACTCCTAACATCTGATTTTTCAGGCCTGCTCACTAGATTGCCTCTTCTAGAATCTGAACATAAAATGACAGTTGACAGACCAGAATTCTAGGCTAAAACCAACAAGATGGAATGTGACTGATAAGACCGAAAAGTGGTGCTTGTGAATTTACAAATCCAATTTCACAGCACCCGCGGCTTGACAGCTGTTCATGTTCAAACAATCTGACCACAAATTGGAGATTGTTTTTTTGCTCTTTCTGACTGGAAAAAACAATGTATAGATATTACCCTTGGGCAAATTTTGGCCCAATTTAAGGTATCATTAGAGCTATTTAAAAATGGAATGGCCTGTTTCGCAGGTAAAGATCTTGCTGTTGCTTAATGAGAGGGAGAGGGAGAGGGAGAGGGAGAAGGAGAGGCGGAGGGGGAGGGAGAGGGGGGAGGGTGAGGGAGGGGGGAGGGTGAGGAGAAGGGGGAAAGAGGGAGAGGGGGAGAGGAGGGGGAGGGGAGGGGGATGGGGAGAGAGGGAGAGGGAGGAACATACACAGAGGAAGAGACCAAAAGATTTACTCATCAGAGATTTTTGTAAAAAGAAGATTCTGTAATGTTTGGGGACTGTTTCAGACACTTTTTCATTTTTGTGAATCTCTGGCATATTACCCATTTATTCATTCCAACAAAATTTTCTTCATTTAGGGATATTTATGTGTGGATAAGAAGGAAAAATGACATTAGTATATGCTTAAATCAGCTTTGTGTCACCATGACTAAAATACCCGATGAGAACAACTTAAAGGTGGAAAAAGGGGCTCAAGGTTTTGGACGTTCAGTCCATGGTAGGCTGAATCCATTGCTCTAGGCCCAAGAGAGGCAGCACATCATAGCCAAAGGGCCCAGCAGGGGGGAAACTGCTTGGTTCCTGGCAGGATCAGGAAACAGAGAGGGAGAGAGGAGGGAGCTGAAGGAAAATGAACCCTTTAATGGCATGCCCCCATGACCCACCTTCACTAGCCATGTCCCCCGGCCTATGGTGTCCCCCGAGTCAATCCATTCAAGCTAGAATGGACTGGGGGTTATATATGATAAGGTTACAGCTCTCATAACCTAATCACTTTAGATTTGAATATACCTCATTAACACAGTAACTTTTTAGGGTGTATCTGATATCTAAAACTTACTATATAAGGCATATGGTGAATTTTATCTAACGCTTAGTTTGTAATGGCATCTCTCAGAACAGTAAGCAAAAACTTAAAATTCTGAGATGATGCTTTTTAAAAATAAGTACTTAGATAAAATTTCTAGTATATTTAGGCTAACTATGAGAAATAAAGATTAATATAAACAAATACTTCTTGGGTTTACTCTATTTTAGCTCTGCAATGTAGACAGTTCAGTTCTCTATACTTCACTTCTCTCAGAATGAGGGCAGTAATTTGTCCCTGCTTGAAAATATTCTTAGGATTAAATTAGTTCCTGCATAGAAACAGTGATGATTGACAATATTAAATGCTAATTTAATGTTTATTATCTTTGCTGTGGTTATTAGACATAAATGTGTGCTCCATTCTCTCTTCAGGAATTAATGACCAAGCTAATAACTGAGACACCTGACCAGCCAATCCCATTTCTTATTGACCATCTTCAATCTAAACAAGGAAATCGTGGACAACTGCAAAGAACTTTGTCTGGATCCGCAGCTCTCTGGGCAGAAAGTGAAACATCAGGTAAATGAAAAATATCTTGCAGTTAATTTGGGATACATTTAATGAAAAATTTCTAGTCTTTTTGATTTTGATAAGATCAATCTAGATGAATGGATACCTAAGGTTTTCACGTATTCGACTGTGACTTCACCCAGATGTTAAAATTTATAGTATTTTTGAATTTGAAGATATTGCATTGTACTTCAAAATATAAAAATCAGGGTATTTCATTTTAATAGAGATGGTTCAGATTTGCAGAGAAGGATTTCATTCTGTATGAGTTCAAACAAATTATTCTAATTTTTTGTTTCTTTTATGAATATTTTGAATTAAATGCTTATAGTTCATCTGTATAGAAAAGTAAAGAAAAAAGTAAGAAAAAAAAAAGACTAGATATCTACAAAGTTAGTTTTCTTACTTCTCAAACTGATGAGCAGTCTCCATTTTCTCCAGCCCTCATGTTATCCTGTGTGTAAGTTCAGATTTAGGAGAAATCGTTCCTTCTGGATGTTGAGGAACCAGCCCTCCAGCTTTATGATAACTTTATTCATCCAGTAAACACTGGTGAGATCCTTGGGCAGACTTGACTTCACCCTTCTCTGCATACTGTTCTGTTGTCTCAGGTATTTATTTTCAAGCCCAGATCTCCTTGGGTGCCCAACTCCTTGCCTGATTCTCCAGGGAATCAGCTTGTTTGGACTCAAAATGTTTTTTTTTCTGCGATGACACTATGACTTCTCTTCTCCCCTTCATGCTCTGTGTGATCTCATGGAAAGGATTTTGTCTCTACATGTGTTGTCATATTAGTGCTTTCTCAAGACACTGAATAGAGAATAGGGTATTTTCTGAAGAATGTAGACATATCTGGTGTTGATGATCCATGCACAGCTGTCTGCATCATACGGGAAACTAGAATATGAGCTTTTGGCATACAACAGAGGGAACACTTGTTTTTTCTTGGCCCCACTTTCTTTGGTTTAAATTATAAATTAGGTGTTTAATCTTTGGCTTATAAGTGCTAAGATGGCACCCACCAGGTGAAGGCATATCAGATGAGCATCTGTGAGCTTACCAAAGTTCATGTGAGTCCATGTTTTATAAAACATTGTATCTGAAGAGAGAATGATTTATTACACTGGGCACTTTAACCAGCACACATTTAGCATCTCAGTGTCCTTGTTGGAATTTATGCCTAGCTTAGCTAAGTGTCAAGCCTCACCAGGTTGCAAGTCAAGGTGTTGACCAGGTTTCATTCTCATCTGGAGCTTGCCAACAGAAGAATCTGCTTTCAAGTTCATTTGGGTGAATGAAGACTTCACCCAACAGAGGCAAAATTTATCCCTTGCAGCTTTGTGACTGAGAACCCTGTTTCCTTTCTGGCTTTCATTTAGAGTCTGTTCTCAGCTCCGAGATGTAATGCAAGGTTCATTGCCGCGTTGCTCTCTCACCTCATGACAATTTACTTTTTTAAAGGCAGTAAAGGAATTTCTCTCATTCTGTTCTGCTAAAATGGAGTCTTATCTAATATAATGTAATCATGACATTGACAAAACCTTTGCCATATTTTATTGGCTAGAAGCAGGTCAAAAGTCCTGTCTTCACTCAAGGGGAGGGAATAGAATAATAGGGCAGAACACCTGGGTACAGCGATCATGGTTATAAATTACCTTGTTATTTTGCTAGTTTTCTTAGAATTCTGACTTTCACAAGCACTTATGACTCTTTCCTTGCAGAAGGGGAAAGGAGGGAGGAGATTATCATAACTCCCAGTTTACTGACTTGAGTGATGGCATAAATGCTCATTTAATAAGGCAAGATAGGAACATAGAACTAAATTTATAAAGGGAAATATAAGCTCAATTCCTATTGATTAATTTGAGTTTCCTGTGGAAAATCTTTGTAGATAGTTACAGTAGGCAGTTGGTGCTGACTAAAGCTCTGGGGTAGTTCAAGGCAGAAGTCCTGGTGTGGAACTCATTCAGTATCATACAACTTGAAAGAACGATCAAGGCTTGTCTTCGGAGAAAATTCCTGTTTATTGAGGAACAGCTCTGCATATTTATAGAGCCGGGGGTGGTTTGACAGTTATGAGAGTGTAATGGTTGAACGGTTTGTCAGTTGGCATAGGGTGCTTTCTGATTGATGGGTAAGGATCATGTGAGTCAGCAGGGCTAGTCTGATTGGTGGGTAAGGATCATGTGAGCCAGCAGGGCTCACCATTGGCCGCTCTTCTCAGGGGATGGGGAAGTTCTGATTGGTGGGTAAGGATCATGTGAATTAGCAGGGCTCACCATTGGACGGCTCTTCTCAGGGGATGGGGAAGTTCTGATTGGTGGGTAAGGATCATGTGAATTAGCAGGGCTCACCATTGGATGGCTCTCGGGGGATGGGGAAGTTAGTCTTTGGAGCCGGTGTGACTCCCAACACAACTAATCATGAAAAACATGAGGGTAAAACAATGGAGGAAGATGTGGTTAAACATGTGGAAGATGTGTACTTAGAATATGGAAGAAAATACATGTAAGATCATTCTGGTTGCCCTAAATTTTGTTGTTTGTTAAGAGGTGAGGTTGTTTGCTAAAGGTAAGAGAGTTTGTTAAGCAGTTTTGGGGCCTTACTGAAGTTGAAGACATGAATTAATTTTTAACTAATTCATCATAGAAAGCAGAAAGCAAGAAGGTGATTTTTTTTTCTTCATTAGTGTTCATAAGAGCTGGGTTGAGAGAGAGAAAAAATTTTTAGGGGCAGATTGAGAATTGTGGTTGTGATACCATGGGGATCATGGAAGGTGGAAGAAGAGTTTTGTGGAGGAGTTTATATTTGAGAGCAAGTGATTCCAATGATGATGAAGCACAAGGTCAGATATGAGGCAGTGAGCAAGGGCAGGAGGAGATTTAGACATAGAAAGCTAAAAACCTTCAGGAGGTTGATGTAGAGAAAATATGAGAGATATAGAAAGAATATTTTTAGGAATAATAAAAGTAATTATTTTTCTTGAATATGTATGGATTTTTTAAACTTATGTTTTTTCAAAAGTTTTATTGGGCTGTTGACTGTGATTTTTCAGGAAAATCAATCATGTGTACATTGAGTCTCCTCCACGGCTCTTCATTTCTCTCATTTAATTTGGCATTGTGTTTGCCTTTCATATTTATTTACTCTCTTCTTAGGGGGTTTATTGAATAAAGTATGTTCTCCATGCCACTGATTAAATTTTTGACAGTACCGGTTCTCTCTTCTTTCTTACTTTGAACACAAATTTAAATGTGTTATTGCATTTTAGTCTCCTACTCATCTTTTTTTAAAAAATAATTTTTCTGTGCACATTTCCATTTTCAATCATAGTTTGGTTGACTTATCTCTGCTCTAATTTCTTTATTTTGTTGGGGGGGAGTACCAGGGATTTAAGTCAGGAGCACTCAACTACTGAGCCACATCTCCAGCCCCATTTTATATTTTATTTAGAGTCAGGGTCTCACTGAGTTGCTTAATGCCTCACTTTTGCTGAGGCTGGCTTTGAGCTTGCCATCCTCCTGCCTCAGCCTCCTGAGCCTCTGGGATTATAGGCGTGCACCACCATACCCGGCTCTAATTTCTTTTGGTTTTATACAGTCCATTTTCTTTTATTTTTATTCAAAAGACAAATCAGTTGTGTTCTGATATTTAATGCTTTTAAAAGTATGATCTCTGCATTGTGGATGTTGTATTCTTGTGTTTTTAAATGAAATTTTTCTTAGAATTATATTTTTTTTCTGTTTATTAAAATTTAAATGTGGAGTATTCTATCTAGTTTTAGGTTTGTCCACCAATAGTGTAGGTGAATTCTTCTTGTCCCCTTACCATGTAGCTTGAAACTATTTGGATTCTTTTCAAACTATGGGATAGGTGAAATCATGGCTGATATTGAAATTTCCAGTAGTGGTCACATCCTGTCTCATCTCATCTCTTTTCTACCAACTAGATAGGAATAGTAGCCTTGCTATATTATTTGAATCAATATGAATTGTTTTCCTTGCCCAGAAAGAACTACAGAATAAAGAAACCCACGACACCCAATGTCTCACTCTTCACTGGCTCAGTGGTCCTTTGTATATTGCTATATTTGATGACAAGAATGCCTTCATCCTTATTAGTGATTTTTATATGTATTTTGTTTTAACAGAATCTAAAGGAACAAGAAGAGATTTCAGAAGCTATGATAAACCTTGGCAATTAAATGCAAAGAAGCCTAAAAAATCAAAAAGTGACCTTGCTGTGTCTAATATTTCTCCCCCATCGCCAGACTCCAAATCATGTAAGTTTGTTCTTCAAATATTATTTCCTTTATAAGTCTGTTGTTCAGGAAATTAAGAAAAAGTAGTAACTGAAGCCAAACTTTTAATCTGGATTTTTTAAAAAAAATATTAATTTATTTATTTTTAGTTATATGTGGACACAATATCTTTATTTTATTTTTTTTATGTGGTGCTGAGGATTGAACCCAGGGCCTCACACATGGCAGGCGAGTGATCTACCTCTGAGCCACAACCCCAGCCCTTGATCTGGTATTTTTGACCATTAATCCTAATGATTTCCACTTTCAAGTCTGCATTGATATTGAATTATTGTATGTATATCTAGTCACCTAATTATACTCTCAAACATGTGTAATGATTTAGACCTAGTACTCTGTTCCTTGAAGAATACAAGTTGTAGGGAGCAGTTCCCTTGCCTCTCATGGCCAGTAGTAGCATTATACTACATTCAAAGCAGGACCATATCTGCATTTAATGAAGTACAAAAAAATCAAGTTAAATCTTTTAGAGCAGAGTGAAAGATATTTCTATTCCAAACATTTAACAACAACAACAAATCTTAAATCCTCTATCTAGGATCTGCCTGAAACCCTGCTCATTATTATTTGTGACTGAAAAAGTCTATAGTTATCCTCTCCCACACTGCCATAAGTTCCCTTCTCCTAATGTCCCTGCTTCCTTTCCCACTACCTTAGTAGCCCCTGCATTTCTCCAGGGCTCTGCTGCCTCCACACATGTGGAAGCTTGTTAAATAGTTCAGGAGCTGATGGAACACATGAGAGCTTGAAAACTGCTTTATACATCGATTTCTTATATTTGTTATAGAGTGAGGTGTTTGCTTTGAATTTCAACAAAGAAAAGAGTATGTTTAAAATAATTATTTTTGTTTGAAAATCTTTGAAAAACCACTGTGTGCTAACTGTAGTCTGAATCTGGGTCATATGTGAAAGAGACTGAAATTAACTCTATCTGCATTTACATACTGGTACTCATAAAACTATTGGATCAACCCCACCAATAGTTTTGTGAGGTTAAATGGAATATTATGAACATTAAATGGTCTTAGCAAATGACGATTGTGATTTGTCAACTTCTCCTTCTTTGCCAGTTTAGTATATAAAATTTGATCCCAACATTAAAAAAATACACAAGTCTAAAATTACTATGTCTTCTTTGGACTAGTATGATTAGTAGTGTCCAACGCCATTCCTGACCCAGTTATGAATTCATATGGGAAAATGAATAAATAAAGAAATGAAAATGAAATGAATCAAGTCTCAGTTTCCATCTCTATCAAGGAGTCATCAGCTTCTCCCCTCTCTCTATATTTGCCCTCCTTTCACCTCCCTTTCTCCTTCTTTCCTCTTTCTACCTCTGTCTCTCTGTCTTCCAATGATAAATCCATAACTATAAGGGTTTACTAGTTTATATTGCCAGTTCTGGATTCCATCACTTATCACTGAGGGGAGAATGCCTAAAGCCCACCTCATTCTGTAAGCTCTTTGCTCTACGTAGGATGCTACCAGCTGCAGAGTGTTGCTGGTGGTTGGCATCTGATTCTGTCTCCTCTCAATCTCTGGTTCCATAGATCATTAGCAATATTTTAATGGCAAAAACAATAACAAAATAACATTTTCATAGTATGTGTAGAGATAATACATATAACAATAAGAATAAAATGAGTGAAGGGTTAACATTGGAAATATACTATCAAATATTAAAATGTTGTTGAAGTAATAGAATTTCCCTTGAACATAGATTGTAATAGCTTAAAGGTGCATATCAGAATCTCTAAAGCATCACTAAAAGCAGTACAAAAGCACAAATGAGAAGTTAATAGATACATTAAAATGGAATATGAAAATGTTCTTTATCTTCCCAAAATAAAGGCAGGAAAAGTGGAACAGATAAACAAAGAATAGATTGTAAAATAGAAATCAAACACCAAGATGATAGGTTAAACTATAAATATGAGAGGAATTGTACCACATAAAAATGAATTAAACATTCTGATAAAACAAGTATTGTCAGGCTGCATAAAATGTATAGATTTTTTAAAAAACAAGAAACACACTTTAAATATACAGACAAAACCAATTTTAAATACTAAGAATAAGGAAACCTATATGGCTACATCAGACCAAGAAGAATTCAAAAGAGGTCATCTCATAATGAAAAAGTTATTGAATTCAGAAAACATGATAATGCTGTGGGGCAGTGCACATAAAAACAGGGTTTCCAAATGCCTGATGAGAAATTTATAGAATTAAAAGCAGATAAAGACATAATAAGTGAATCAGAAAAATCAGTAAACACATGAAATTATGAACAACCACCTTGATTTAATTGATATTTATAGAACACATGCTCAATAAAGTTAGAACACATACACACACACACACACACACACACTCTAACACACATGTATATAATTCTCAATTCCTGGTAGAATATTCAGAAAGATAATTAATATGGTATGCTGTAAAACAATTATGTAGTTATATGAAATATTTTTTGTGAAGAAATTTTATTAAGTTAGAAATAAATTACAAGAAACTTAGAAACTCTGCTTGCCTCCACATTTTGAAATTAAAAACCTCATTTCTAAATAACCAAGGAGTTAAGTACAGAATTGCAAAGGAAATTTGACAACATTATGAAAAACAAAACATATACAAATTTGTAGGATGAACTAAATCAGTGCTTAGGAGAAAATTCATAGCTCTAATAGAAGCATTTTAAAGACTGATGTATTAGAAAACAAAATGGTATAAAGTCAATAACCTCAGCTTTCACCTTAAGAATATAGGTAAATAATGAACTAAATCAAGAATATGTTGAGAAAAATAATGTAATTGAAATAGAAAGTAAAACAAAGAAAAATCAATAAATCCCAGAAGTTGGTTATTTGAAAATATTTACTTAAACAATAAAACTACCTTGCAAGACTTATCATATGCAAGAGTATTAGGAATAAAAGAATAAAAATTATTACAGATTGTGAAGGCATTAACAGGATACTTAGAAGATAATTTAACAGTTATATGCCAGTAAGATTGACAACTTGTATAAAAGATATAAATCATTTGAGAGACACAAGAAACTAAAACTTACTCAAGAAGAAATAGATATATTTAAGTTTCCTCTATCAGTTAAATAAATTGAATTAATTATTAAATAGTTTCTCATCAAAAGGACTTGAGTCCAAGATGGCTTCATTATGGGATCAAAACATTTGAAACTAAAAGAAATTAATACCATATGCAACTTTTCAGAAAATGGAGAAGAAGGCTACACATTTCAACTCTATTTAGGTGGCCTCCATAAACTAAAACAAGATAAGGACTTTATAAGAAAAGAACACTAGAAATGATCCTAGTCCAAGACCATAGATATAAATATTTTTACCACCTATTAGTAATATTAATACAGAAATATAGGAAAGTGATCCAATTTATTTTATGTAAGAAATGCAATGTTCATCTAATAGACAAACATTTATCAGTGCAATTCACTATAAAAAAAGAGTAAGAGAGAAAATTTATATATTCATTTCAATACACGGGGGAAAAATATCTGACAAAACACAACATTTATGATAAAAACTCCATCAACGTAGGAATAATAGAAAATATCCTCAGCCTAATAAAGATCAAAACCAAAAGTCTCACAGTTATTATCATATTCTGCACTGAAATATTGAATACTGCTCCTCTATCAATGAAACAAATGCTTACAACTTCTGTTCAAAATCATAGTGTGAATGAAATTCGACAAGAGAAAAAATATATAATTGCAAGCGAAGATAGAAAAACCTTTTACTATACATGTCAAAATTTTATAAACATGAAAAACACAAAAGGAACGTAGAAGAAAAAATACTAAGATGAGTAAGTAAAATTGTCAAAAATCACAGGATACAAAGTAAGCAAGCAGATAATTGTATTTTGTATTCTGACAGTGTAAAATTGAAAATGTCCTTAAAATACCATTTGTAGTAGCATCAAAGAATACCAAATTTTTAGGGACAAATTTGATGGGAAAATGTGAAAACTGCCTATACAGAAAATTAGGAGACATTGTTGAGACAAATTAACTAAAACTTTGGATAGATATATCCTGTTCATATTCAATATTGGTAAAGGGTAGGTGGTACATATTGGCCTAGAATTTGAATATGTCCCTAGCAGGCTTTATTCTAGAAAATGATATAAATATTTTAAAAATGTACCAACCAAGGAAAAAGCCTATGATTATTTAAAGCACTCCTGATAAACATGAACTAGATAGAAAAATTTACCCCACCTGCCTTATAAAACTATAGTTGTCAGTTCAACATAATATAGGGTCCATAAATAGACCTCCATAATACAGTCAGATGAGCTTCCACAAGGATATATTAATAGTAAAATGAGAAAAGAAAAGATTACTTCAGCATTGGACATCCATTTGAAAAACAAACAAAACGAAATATAACTTAAGTCATCCCTGAAGGAAGTAAAGGGTTTTTAGGGATGTTCCAGTTACTATGGCTGCTTGACCAATTGCCACAAACTTCTTTTAAATAAAATTAATTAAAGAGTAAAATGTACAATTGACTGGCATTTAGTACATTCACAATATTGTGCTACTATTCTCTACTAATATTTAGTTTGACACTATTTTCATCACCCCAAAGGAAACCTGTACCCAAGAAGCAGTCTCCCAGTATTTCCACATTCCACCAGCCCCTGACAATCTGCTTTCTGTCTCAGTGGAGTTGTTTCTATTGAGAGTATCTCATGGATAAAATCGTAGAGGTGTGACCTTTTGTATGTGACTTATTTCACTTAGCAAGCTTTTTGATTCATTAATTTCAGCAAGAACACAACTTCATTCTTTTTATAGCTGAATAATATTTCATTATGTGGATGTACCGCATTTTGTTTATCCATTCTTCTCTCAGTGGAAATTCGGTTGTTTCCATCTTTGACTCTTATGGATTGTGCTGTTCTGGGCA